ACCTCCTCCATGTTACTGTCGAATGGTCCATTCTTCGTTTCCTATTCAGATTCCGTTCGAGAGATAGCCTGGCTAGCGCACGATATCGTTCGACTGTTTGCTCAGCGTATGCCCGATCCATTTCCTCCCACATATTTGTTCAACAATAGGTTTGTTCCCATAGTTTCTTATTGCTAATTCTTGCTGACCGGCTGGCTATTTCATCTTCCATATGGAAACAGCGAAGGCAGTTGTTGATGAAAGACTGCAGTGGCCTGTTGAAAATGCGTCTCGTGATGCACAGTGCAAGTTTCTCACACAAACAGAAGAACTGACTGACTGAATTGACATTTGTGTTGAACAGAATTCGAATCTTGTTATTGTTTATGCTGCTGAGTGAAGTAGAAGATTTCGAAATCGGTTTCAGGTTGATGAAGATGTGACACCTTGCCTTTCCGATTTCAGCTGGCTGGTTGGCTGGCTAGCTTTGACATCTTCATGCATGCTGTCCAACTGCCTGTGCTTGAAACCGTGCTTCGTGGTCAGCTAAGTGAAGGGAGGAAATAATCTGTTCTCCGGTTGATAGTGATTAGTGCTGGTTGCTGCTGTTGCTGTTGCTGTTCGTTGGCTGTGCTCACCTGAGTGAGTGCTGTATTCGCTGCTAGCTAGCCTATTGTGCTAGTTTGTTGGTGTTCGCCTGCCTGCAAGTCTTTGAGTTTGAAAAAAACTCAGTGATATAGTATTATTAATTTTTGATGACATTTTGAGAATAATTTATTGTTCCCAATCAAAAGATTTTTTAATAAAGCATGAATTAAGGTGTCATGTAGATCCACAAACTCACTCATTGTCAAAATCTGTAGGCTAAAAGAACCTACTGACTGAAGAATTAGAGTAATTAATCCACTAAATAGTATACAATGACTGTGAAACCAACTGATGAATAGGTTAGACGAGTAAACTGGGTTGAATCAGGTTATCAGAACATGGGAATTTGAATAAGCGTAGAATGATTGACCCAAGGAAGAATAATAGCTTAGAGCATTCACAATGGATGCACACATACATAGTAGGATGGGACAGAGCTACACTTCTAAAAATTAATATATATAGGTGGAGTGACTAGTCATCACTGAATCTGTCTTTCTTCACTTGAATGATCCAGCGCTTGTACCAAAGATACAGAATATATTGCTACGAAATAAATCAAAGATTAAGGAATAATAGAATTATATATACTAAGTTTTGAAAGTCTAGAGATTCATCTGGTAATAAACAAATTGTGCTCAAAACGTCATCAGTAAATACTATCACTATTTTTTTGTTTTTACCAAGTGAAATTATTCTATAGTAGAGTTGCATTCCTCTACTACAATGAAATTTCAAGCGAAGTTAATTGTCATTAGAGTAAGAAAAGGCTGACTAGCACTACCACCGATGACATTCCAGATTATTGTGGACTGGATCACGCAACATAGAAGTGGACTGACAAAAAAACTCTAGAAGATTTGGACTTCGTGAACAATTTAAATTTCGTGTTGTATAAACCTGAAAATCTATAGGTGAAAAACAAACAAGTTCGTCGAAGAGGCAGGCAGCGAAGACAGAACCTCAAGTGAACATAGAGAAAATACGGGTGATGAAGAAACGTAGTCCGTAACAACAACAACAGAGGGCATCAATCAGTATCAACGGAAGAAATTCAAAGAAAGTCACCTATCCAACTTACCTGGCTACGAAGCATCGTTCCAAATACACACAACCGCACGGATCACGATGTCAAAGTCAGACAGATTTTCAATACTCTGATGAAATCAGTGTGGGAATCTGCTGCTCTCATGAGGAACAACTAACTTGATTCGCATTTCAAACATGAATATCAAGTCAGTCAGTGTTTCTGCATGATTCAGACTATTGACCCACATGTCACGAGAAGTTACTGGAACAGGCTACTGAAGACCTGTCTCGACAGCTGTCTTCACTCTCTATTGAATGAATATCAGATGGCCAGACAGACAGCAGTATCTACAAGGGACGCTGACAAACTAGTCAATCAGCCAACCAAGAAGCTACAGATCGATAAATATGCAGAGGGGAATGGAAATGAATCGGATACACATTGTGAGGACTGTTGAGTGAAGTCATATGACAGGCTATCGAGTGGAGCTCGAATGGGAAATAGAGAGTTTGGCGTTCATCCTAGGGTAATATGGAGGAGATCATGTTAGGAAGGAAGAGGCGGGGGAGACTTAAGCCTATGCAAAGTCGTGATCTTATGAAGTAGAAGTAGAAGAAGAAGTGAAGATAACCGAGTGGAATGGAGATGTGTTGTTGAAGTCATATGCTCCATCCAGAACCCAAGGGAATAATAATAGTCGGCATTCATGCAATTTAACACTCACAGTATAAAATTACTACTTATGAGTAACTGTTTAAAATTGGTATGTTTTGTTTCACTCTTTTTATGATTTGTGTAGGAGAAATGTTTTTTTTGTGGGATAATGATAATGACAATAACTATAATAAACGTTGAAATATAATATTTTTTATAGCTTAACGTAACTTATTATTAAATTTGAATTATATCCTCTGTTAAACTTACCAAGTGATAATTATAATTTTTTCCCTATCTAAATATTTTCAAAAAAAAAACAGAAAAATGCTTTCAGTAAATATTCTACAATAATCTTAAAAGTTCCTATTTAGATTTTTTCAATAGACAGATTAAATTATGTAGAATGTTATAAATCTCATGATGTTTTATAATTTATTTCTATGTCAGTTAACATAAGCTCTATGTTCTGAACACCTTGAGCAGCAATCTTCGTATGTTTGGCATGCGATTCGCCCCTGTAAAATGTAAGATGCTGCTACAGGAATGACTGGACTACGTCAACTCCTAGCTTAGTGATAGGGAGTGAAGTGATAGAACATGTTGACCACTTCACCTATTTGGGAAGTTGTTTCAGCATCAACGCACTGATTGGTGACGAAATCTCAGCACGGATCCAAAAAGCTCAAGCTGCTTTCGTTGACTTACGCCATCTCTGGAGTAGGCGTGACATTCGACTATCAACCAAGGGACGTGTGTACTGCTCAGCAGTTCTTCGTCCTTCGTCCGTCCTTCTCTATGGCTCTGAAATATGGCCAATACGAGTTGAAGACATGAAAAGGTTGTCTGTTTTTGATCATAGATGTCTACGATCTCTTTCTCACGTTAGGTGGTATAATAAGGTAAGTAATGTTGACGTTAGGCGTAGAGTGCTGGGCAAAGGGGGAAAATCAATCGAAGAGGCTATGAAGTTACATAGATTGAGATGGCTAGGTCACGTGCTGCGTATGCCTAACCATCGCCTCCCCCGACGGACGGGCATTACTAGCTGATATAGGTGCAGGTTGGAAAAGGGTAAGTAGTGGCCAAACAAAAACATGGCATCAGTCCATGAAATCCCTTTCCGTTAAACTGAGTCAGGAAGGGAGATGCAGACTTCCGAGTTGGGGCCCACCTTTGGGACTCTAAGAATCAATAGCTGGAGACAATAGGTGACATGGCTCAAAATCGTTGTCAATGGCGCAGATGTATTCAGTCTCTGTAATCTTTCATATTCCTTTCTACCATTACTCATTCTGTTTCACTCTTATACTCGTCAAAACTCTATTGATTCCCTTCACTCATTTCCTTTTCTACCTTTGTGTGCTATTTGGAACGTGGCAACTCGAAGTGGTGCACTTCGGTGCCAAGTTCTATGTTGAATCCAGGCAGCAAGCCAGCTCTATGTACCAACTGAAATCTACTCGATAAAGGTCTAATTGTGTGTAGTTAGTTAGATATTTTTCTTGAGAGGAATCAGTGACAACCTCGTAAAGCTTATATATCTCGAAGCGGTCAGAATTTTCTCAACCCAATACCAATGCGGATATTTTGCCGATAAGTATTCATGTTATGAGTTAACCACATAGACTACGTAACCAGTGAATGTGATCATCTAGTTGGATGGAACTCAGCCATCTAGAATAGATTTGCCACACACACATACACCAGGTTTTAAACCGTTATTATAGTTTGTTACCCACCTTGAAAGACAAAACTGATTCGAATTCAAGGTCCACTGCTTGAAAATAAACAGTTTGAGTCAATGTGTCACATATATACCAACTGGTTTCAAGTATAACTTCCGACTTGAACTTTCAAGTTAAAAGGGTGACCTTTGTGTTTAGATGTGTGTATGTGTGCCTGTGTATTCGGAGAAAACATGTTACTTTTTTCATTCCTTATATTTTGATTGGAACACTGGACACATCAAGCTTTGAAGTTTAAGTGGCAGTGATGTTGTTTCTGCTGACTGGAGTTACTAAACTCACACCAAACCGTTTCTCCTTTGACCTGCCTTCTACACTGTAGTAAACTAGGTGAGGTTAATGCGTGCATCGATTGAAAATCCAGATGATTGTCCAAATTCCTAAATGTTTCTCATTTACCACTAATATCCATTCGTATATATATTGGTGACCTGGTTAAATTTGGCCTACCGAAAAATCCCATCGATATTTCACAGATATTTTCTCTGATAAAATATGATCTTTAATTGCGTTCTATACTCTGGCTAATATTTAATGTGCATACAACTTGCTAATTCACAAGTTTCTAGTTTTCGTGAGAAAAAACATAATCGTGTGTCCGAGTGTATTTCAATGCAAGAGATGATAGCTAGGTGTTCTTGGGTTGTGTGTCCTTGGTTCACAGATTGGATTCCTGAAACATTTCCTAATTGCCATTCAACCAAATTACATGCACTGACCGAAGAAGACAGCGGGAAGACATCCTAATTTCTTGGTATGCACTTCATGTCAGGCAGAAGTGTTTTACTTGGTCCACCGTTACGTGTTATTTTATTTTTAAGATCCTGGATGAAGAGAAACTATGATGCAACAAACTCGACTGAATTTTTTTGCACAATATGTAGACGCTGAAAGATTCATTAATCTGTCATTTTTTAAAATTTTCTTTGCATTTCTTTCAGATTGCCTTTTCCATTGCAAAAATTATCCCCATTAAACCAGAATTTGGCTTTGGTCTACTGACTATCGGTTGTTCTCCAGGTGGTGGAGTCAGTAACGCTTGGTGTCTTTTACTTGGTGGTGATATAAATTTAAGCATAGTGATGACATTTATTAGCACATTATCAGCTCTTTGTAAGTTTAGATTTATTTATTTATTTATTTATTTATTGATATATCCATTTATTTGTTATGTAAATTTTAGCTTAGTGTTAGTTGGTTGGAGGTAATCTGTAGGAAGCCTTGCCTGACTTAGATTTTGTGTTAGTTGGCATTCACCAGTCAACAAGGCGTATCTGCCAACTTGGAGGAAATCATGTCCCTTTCTAAGATTTGAACCCTCGTCACCCAGTGACTACTGCGGTCAGAGAGATGTTACCACTGAGATATTCGGGTTGGCGATTACTGACCTTCTGTAGGACTGTATTGGATATTTATGATTGGATACTAGTCAGTAACTAGCGTAATGTGTCTAGTCCTATCTTTGGTGCAGACTGAATTCTGTCAGTCACATTTGCAATATGGCCACCATGCTAGGTGACTCGCCGATTGCCTCCAACCATCTAATACCAACAACAATTCACAGTCCATCGTGTTGGCAAGCCACGTAGCATGATGGCCACATTGAAAACTTGACTAATATATTTCAGTCTTCACGATAAAGATGGGACTAGACCCATTACACACTAGTTACTACTGACTACTGTCCAATCTAAAGAAAACTTTAGCTTAATAAACTGTCAGATACGAGAGTTGATTACTTCTCATCGATGGAGTAATGAATTGTTATTGATACGTTAAAGGAAACTGTACACATGGGTGTAGGGCAATGAATAGCAGTAAGTTCTATTCACACTTTGTATATGAGTATAGTTATATGGGTACACTATTCAAGTGGTCCACCAAGTCGGATGTGGAAATAAATATTCACCGAGAACACTGGCTGGCTGTGGTCAACAGTTTCACAAACTAGCAGAAGGTAGAATTTATGGACTAGCCATTGAATCCCATCCCAGTGGCTAAATGTTCGATTCCCAGTGGAGTTATGGGTGCGTAGAGATGTGAAGAGTTCTGAACTGCAACAAAACATCTATCCAGTATTTCCTGGTTCTCTATTAAAAGGTCCTCTAGTCTTTATCATCCCATGATGTAGCCTGAAACTAATTAAATCCCTACAAACCAATAGTTGAGAGTTAAGTGGCTCTGTTGACAAGGAGACAGGCAACCAGTATTCATTCATTACTCCGAACCCTATATCTACGCGGCATAGTTACACCAGTTACTTTCTCACATTTTGTAACATTTTCGTGATAACAGATGCCTACGACCACACTGCTGATCACTGGACACATCCACAATCAAAAAATCATTTAGTTTGTATCATTTAACCATACATAATTCTGATGATTATGAACACCTTTGTAACTCAATGGGGAGGCTCATTACAAATTTAAAAGACTGATTCATGAATATTCAAGAATATTCACATTTTCGATAAATTCATCATCAAGTTCTACATTTATCTGACAGTAATAATTAAGAAATCGTTGTTAAATAACAACAGTAATCCTGTTTTAGTATATTTCAAAAGCATAAGTGAGACAAAGAGAGATAATACGCATTAATATAAAACTAAACTTTTCTATAGTTTGGTTTGTAAGGATTAGTTATGTTTTCACGAGTTGATCACGGACTGATATCAGTTAGAGAACCATTGAAAACAAGCAGGGAGTACTGGACAGCTGCTGTTTCATCCTCGTTTGGGAATCATCGGCAGTACGCACCCACTGCCAGGGCTCGAACCCAGGACCTTCCAGTTACAAGCAAGCTCGTATACCATTCAGCCACTGGGACCCGATTCAATGGTCATCTCATGAATTCTAACTTCTACCGATTCGTGCTTTAGCGCGATGATTCCTAAACTAGGATGAAACAGCAGCTGTCCAGTACTCCCTGGTTTTCAATGGTTCTCTAACTGATATCAGTCCGTTATCAACTCATAAAACTAAACTGACTCAGTATCAAATAAATCAAGGAAAATAATATTGGATTTATGAATTTATAGGTTAGACAACAAGCCAGAGTAGCAATAGTAGCTGACTGGACTTGTTTCTTTTGCACACACACACACAGAGCTCCGGTGTTAATTATTATCAATAATTTCTTGAATTATTACTGTCATATAAAAAGTAGAACCTCTGATGATGAATTTATCGATATAGAATATTCGGTGTTCATTAATCGACCTTTGTAACTTTCTATAATAATCAGGACATGAAGTCCACAGAAGGTAAATGTCAATAGGAAGTCTTGCCTTCCTTCAAGTCTTCCCTTCGAACCCACAAACTCAATTAGAAAAAAGCTTTGTCGGTGTAAGGATCAATCCTGTGAAGCCTTTAAGAGAAGACAATTTAGTTTATCTAATACCCTGCAATGATTGTCAGGTCAAATACATAGGTCAGACTAGTAGAACAGGGGCAGTCAGACTAGCGGAGCATAAAAACCTAGCAGCAAAATCCAGATTAGTTGACCCGAATGATATAAGAAATCTAGAGAATAGTTCAGCTATACCAATCACTACATGCAATTACACACAACCATACAATAGGATGGATGGGCTAAGATGGCAGCGTGGAGGGAGAGATTGACAACGAAAGCTTTGTATGGAGGATTTCATCATGAGCTGACATCAGTTAGAGAACCACTGGAAAACCTGGGAGTACTGGACAGCTATTTCGTCCTAGTTTAGGACTCTTCAGCAGTACGCGCCCACCCGGGATTCGAACCCAGGACCTTCTGGTTACAAGGCGAGCTCGTAGACCATTGAGTCACTGGGACCCGATCCAATGGTCCTTGAATTCTAACTTCTGCCAATTCACGACATAGCGCGACCATTTCGCAATGTCTTCTTAGATGAGTTACTGTCACATCTTCAACCTGCTGTACCCCACTGGTCACGGCTTCCCACTAGAACCCCAGGTTAACTGCCTGAATAGGGCCAGTCACTAGTGAGCATCAGATTAATTTTCAAGTATTGGTTAGGTAGGGATTTTGTTTAATTGTATGGAGGATTTCATCATGAGCTGACATCAGTTAGAGAACCACTGGAAAACCTGGGAGTACTGGACAGCTGTTTCGTCCTAGTTTGGGACTCTTCAGCAGTACGCGCCCACACTTCAATGGTCTACGAGCTCGCCTTGTAACCGGAAGGTCCTGGGTTCGAATCCCGGGTGGGCGCGTACTGCTGAAGAGTCCCAAACTAGGACGAAACAGATGTCCAGTACTCCCAGGTTTTCCAGTGGTTCTCTAACTGATGTCAGCTCATGATGAAATCCTCCATACAATTAAACAAAATCCCTACCAAACCAATACTTGAAAAACGAAAGCTTTGTTTATCGAATCAACTGAGAGAGAATACGTGTAATAGGAATGATTCAACAACTGTTCCAGATATCTGGAAAATTCTACTACCCCTACGACAAATAGGAGAGAACAAAGAAAACTATAAAACTCAAGTCTCAAAGTCGTGTGATTACAATTGATATGATTATGAACAATAAATTTTGTTCGAAGCGTCATCCAGTAAATAATACTGTTTCACTGTGTGATATATCTAATAAACAAACTAATATGGAATTACTTACTACCACAGTGCCCAAGTTTTACACATATAGGAAGTCTTGCCTTATTTTATTTTGAATTACTTCAGGCTTATTATTATGCATAAATCATCAAGTGCAATAAAACTGACAGTTCACGGAAAGTACCCACCCAGACGTGAATATAAGAGCAAAACGTTCAGCGAAGAGTCTCTTTTCATCGGCGAATTCATTCACTTAGCTGGACAATCGCATTTATATATAATTATTTTGTGTGTGTGTGTGTACATTAGGATTGTCAAACAAAAATAAAAATTAGTCAGGGTTATTGTTTACGTCATCAAAATGTTTCAAAAATGTGATGAATAATCAAATTGCAACTAGGGCAGTGAAGATTGGTAAGTATTGACAAGGGTTGCATAATCTGAAAGGCACCCAGAAAAATAGGACGTTAGTGGAAGAGCATGGATACAAGTGTCCAAAATAAATTACATAATAGGCAGAAAGAGTAAATAGAGGATTACTTAAGAAAAAGATGTTACTAAGAAGTTATACAAAAATTCAAAAAAGGCATTATTAACAAAGTAGTAGGACTTGGAATTATACCCAAGGTAGAAGGAGGGGGTGGAGAAGTTTCTTCTGTGTATATGTATCAGGGTTTTCTATCCGGATCGCTAAGGCCTTCACAATGCAAAGTATACGGAAGCTTACGGTTTTCAGGAGGATTCATTTGACTTTGTATATGACTTTGAATGAATTCTCTTTGCACACTGAGTAGTCAGTGTTGAATATATTGTTCAATTATACCACTCCTTATTGATCTACTGTCACCTCTTCGTAGCTAAGCAGGGTAATGTTCTTTGACTCTCTTAAATAAATTACGCATCGAACGACATAAAATATCTCTCTCCACATGAACAAGAAAAAATTGGTAGATACACACAGAAGTGGTCAAATGCGATAGTTTATCTTTAGAGTTGTTGAAGAACAATGGGTGGGATGAGAATACCAATCGTTATGTAGCCGCAGGGCATTAGATATTCTTCTCTTTAGGATTTTGCCTGGAAGGTCACCCTTAAACGCCACATTCATTTATAGCATCTTCTTCAGCACAGAAATGGGTTGTTGTTTGATGGTTTTCAACTTTGTATGTTTATCTGTAAAAAGTGTAGGAGGTAGCCATTCTCAAGTAGTATCTTCCTTAAAAGAATGACCGCTTCATCTATTGATTCACGGTTTCGGATTCTTCGGATCTTGATCAGAAGAGATATTATCAGGTCTCGCCTATGATTAATGGTTACTCAACTGTAAAGGCTTATCAACTGGCCATTCTATATAGACTGTATATATATATATATATATATATATACTAATCTGTTCAGAGCCCCATCAGTGTTCTTTGTTTGTTGGTCATCCAGAATTTGAGATTGTCTCTCCGATTTCTGCTTTAATTGTAAATTTGATGGCTGGTTGGGAGCTATTCAAACCTTGCAAGACATTATTTAGGTGACATTTGTTATCGATATCAACGTACCTTTTTTGTACAGAGAAAAGTTGTCAATAGTCGATTTCAACGGACCATTTCCCATATTTTGCCATGAAAATATCTACAAGTAACTTGACCTAAAGGTGAACCTATAGCTACACCTGCTTGCTGTTTATGAATAGTACCACTGAATGTTTTTACTGAACATTCAAAGTGTATCTAAGTAGGTAGTTCTCTTAGCTTACGTGTAGATATGCCAATATTCAAGTTGTTGCCTTCCAGTAATTATAATGTATTAGTCTAATGTTGATTTAATATTTTTTTTTATTGTAATATTATCATTCAAATATTTATTTGTTATAATGACGCTACATACGTAAAACAATTCTTAATTAATTAATTAATTAATATTATTTCACAAAGTACCATTTCGTTATTTCGTTTCTTGTTTGTTTTTTTTCAAACAATTTATATCATTATATACATTAATGATTCCTTTTCTTGTTATAATTTCAAGAATAATAAAACAGATGAACTATGTACACTGTAATTCGACTTAGAAGAGCAAAGTAATTTGATGAGATTCCTAGTCTTTGTAGATAATTAGACACTGAGTTTATTCAGGTATATATATATATATTATATATATATATATATATGTCATGCCGTCTTACACAGACTAATTATCACAGGAATTCCAGACAGCTTCAAAAATTTCAGTTTAGGTTGTCTGTAGTAATTATTATTTTTAAAATTTTGTACCACACACAACCAAAAATGAATAATATTTGCATTTTATTTTAAAATATTATTGGAAAGAAATTCAATCTTTGAAGATGTTTTAAGGTATACCTGTATGATAAGTGAGTCTTTATTTGTATGAATTATTATTTAGAAGAATTATTATTATCATTGTTTCCTTTAATTCCTAGAGGAACATAGGGCTTCAGCCGTGCGTCTCCATTGCGTTCGGTTCTCTGCTAGAGTCTTCACCTGGCTCCAAGTCTGCCCACACGTTTTCATCTCCTCTTCACACGGTCTCTTCAAAGTCACCTTTGCACTGACGACCAACTCGCCGCTTCCTTTTCGGGTTCCACTCGAGCAATGGCTTGTCTAGTGATGTCACTTGATGGTTTCCTCAGAGTATGGCCAGCCAATCCATCTCCATTCCTTCCTGCCTATTTGTTTCACAGTCGGTTCCTGGTTGGTTCGCTCCCAGAGATCTCTGTTGCTGATCTTTTCTGGCCGGCCATCTGATCTTGAGTATTGAGCGAAGACATCTGTTAATGAAGGTCTGCAGTTTGTTTGAGATGCTTTTTATGACTCGCAGTGCAAGTCTCTTATCCGTATAGTAGCACTGACTGACTTCACATTGGAGTTGAAAATCCGGATCTTATTTTTAATGCTGAGTGCTGTTGACCTCCACACAGACTTGAGAGTAGTGAAAGCTTATCTTGGTTTCCCGATCCTTGGTTTGATATCCTCGTCAGTTCCGCCTGTAGTTGAGACGATGCTTCTCAGGTCGGTAGGTAAAAGAGGTTGTTTCTTTCAGGTTCCTTCCATTTATGCTGATTGCTGTCTGTTGTTGTTGCTGTGGCTGTTGATGTTGGCCAGGAATCTTCATTACCTCCGTTTTCTCTATGTTCACCTGGAGTCCTATCTTTGATGCTTCTTCTGCCAACTTGTTACTTTTCACTTGCATATCTTCCAGTTTGTGGGAAATCAGACATATATCATCGGCGAAGTCCAGATCCTCCAGTTTTTTTTGTGTGAGTTCATTTTATGCCTGTTTCCCCATTGCCCGCCGCTGTTTGTCGCATTATCCAGTCTACTGCAATCATGAAAATCATTGGCGATAGTAGGAAGTCAGCTTGTCTTACTCCTATCCTCACTTCGAAGGATTCCGTAAGTTTCCCGTTGTGGATTACTTGACATGCAGCATTGTCGTACAGCTGTTGGATGAGATGTATTAGCTAGAAGAATGGATTATAGTAATCTACAAAAAAGATTCAGCATTGTAAGTAAACTTAGAAGGTAGGCAGCAGAATTGGAGAAAAACGTATGCATCCAATAACCGTGAAACAACCAATCACACAGCAAAGCAGTGCCATCAGGTAAATAAAACGCTATATTTATGAAAAGAAGTTTTGAAAACAGTGTTAGAATGTGTTGAACAAAATAACTAATTTTTAAATACAAAGAGTATAACTCTGAGTTTCTCATATGACTCTACTGGTGTTCATTCAAATGATAATCGTTCGGGATCTACAGCTATGGGTGGTCTTAGTTCAGGATTTTGGTTCGGTTGATGTTATGGTTAGGGTTTAGTTTAGGATGAAAACTATTCCCCTCAATTCTGAACAATGTTCATATATTATAAATTATTTAAAATAATCTCAGCGTGTTGAAGAAACGTTTTGCTGTGTAATCGCGAAGGCTTCCTCAGCAGAATTATTCGGATTTTACTAACCACCACAATACAGAGTCAGAAATTACATAAATTAAAGTCAGTTCTTTTGAAGGTCACTTGTCGATAGACATTTGTACCAATAGAAAAATGTAAACAGTCATCATATATTTGTAATGACTAATCTTAAGTGGAAAATACGTCAAAACAGGATAACATTTCACTGTGGTTATAACATAGGATTGAATTTGTTTTTCTCCCTCATCTGTTTTGGTTCATTAGAGTTTGCCGTATAGGTAGTGATATGTCTATTCCTTCTCTCCTATTTACCGCATTCGATGTGGTTGAAATATGCAAGACTTGAGAGGTCAGGCTTTCTTTATGTGGTGAATGAAAGCCCCTTCGTAGAATTCCGACATTGTCGAAATCTATCTTATGTCCGCTGTCTATAGTATGCATTGCTATAACTGATCTTTTTTCTAGACTTCTTAATTCTACTTCATTTCTAGGTGGATGTTTCATGCACAGACAGTGTTCATTAACTCTGAGCTTCCTTCACCTATCTGCTATTCTTCCATATAGATCACGCTTCACATTCTGAACACTTTATTCTATAAACGTAGTTGTTTTGTGTCATTTTGTGAACCGTACCTTTGATATTCTCTAGAGAATTAGAGGGCTTGAAATAAACTTTAATGTTATATGAAGCAAGTAGTCATTGAAGTTGTTCATTTTTATCCTTTCGGTGTGGAGTGGCTTTTCATTTTTCTGTTTCCCTTCTGGTTCTTTTTATTGATAATATTATTTAGAACCCTTTTCGAATAACCATTTCCAATCAAAATTTGTTTTATATTAGAGACCTCGTTCTCCATGTCATTATTATCTGTTATAAGGCTACTGAAACTTTCATTATTATTGAATGACCTGATTAGAAATTCAAATATTTGTTTGAATGTGTCGGTTTCTTGTATATCGCTAACTTCAGTTTCTCGTCAGTTTGTCGTTTTACATGGACTGAATGTTGTTACAGTGGGAATTATTATACCCTTTTTTAAGTCATTAAACCATTATTCAAGTTTGACTATCGATTGATATTTATTAGAGAACCACTTGCTGGATATACGACGAAGTTATCAGGAGTTCTAGTGAGAAGTTGTGGTCAGTGACCTCCAGTCGGTCAGGAGTGACGACATATGCTCGCTGGTGATATTGGCTGGTGCCAGTCACGCTAAAATCACGAATTGGTAGGAGTTAGAATTCACAGACTGGCCACTGACTCGGGTCCGAGTGGCTGAATAGTCTACTAGCTTGCCTTGTAACCGGAAGGCCTTGGGTTCAAACCACGGTTGGTGCGTGCCAATGATGAGTCCCAGACTAGGACAAAACAGTTGTTCAGTACTCCCTGTTAGATTTTGCTGTTTCTCTAACTGACATCAATCCGTTGTCGAACTTGAAAAACTAATCCTACGATGCACGTTTTAAATGTGTGTAAAACTGTATAATTTTATCTCTCGGTAATACAGGAAATCAAGTCTTGTTGAAATAAATTAATGTTAATAAGGCGCGCTAAAGCTGACCCCCCCCTCTTTTGACAGCTTCTACGTGTATCATCAACACTTCGCGTAATTGGTTAGGCTATTATTTCAATCTTCCAACTGTTGACCTGGTAAAAGTACCTGATAAACCGTCTGAATATTGTCAGTTTATTGTTAATATGCATATTTAATAATAATAATTATTATAATAATGACAATTAATATTTTTGTGTTGCATTATGACTCTCCTCTCTTTTTTTTCTACAGTTATGATGCCACTTCTTCTCTTCGCATATGGACGATTCTTTATTGATGTGACAACAGTGAAAATCCCATATCTTAATATCGTATTCCAGTTACTACAAGTAGCTGTACCAGCATTATTGGGTTTAGGTCTACGCGTATGGAAACCGAAATGGGCTACAAAATTTACAAAACTTACACGTCCATTATTCATTTTCTTTATTGTCTTCTTTCTAACTATTGGTACTTACATAAACTGGTCATTATTTCGTCTGTTAGGTGTTTATCCCATTGTAATAGCTACTGGAGCACTATTACCATGGTTTGGATTCAGTTTAGCTGCATTATTTGCATTAATTTTAAGACAATCACGTAAATTGATTGTTACAGTAGCTTTAGAGACAGGTATACAAAATATTGGTGTTGCAATTCTTGTATTATTGTATTCAATGCCAAAACCAGCGGGTGAATTAGGCGCTATTATACCTATCACTGTGGCTATGTTCACACCACTTCCATTATACTTTATCTATCTAGGATTAGTAATTAAACGAAAATGTTGTGACAAACATAAAACTCCAACGCCTAGTGATCCAGCTGAAAGAGAAGCGTTGAACAGTAGGAAGACAAGTAGTAGTGATAGTGGAACTAATGTAGTACTTGGTAATGATTATCATCAGACTGTTGTCAACACTAATGGACGTGTCTAAAAGAGAATGACACAGATGAAAGCAAGATGTTCTGTGAATTCTATGTTATTTCTTATTTTCAACCTTGTTCAGATATAATATACATGAGCCGTATATTTAAATTGCAAGATTTTTAGATGAAAGCAATCACACTGCCAATTTTTTTGCTATTGTTCCTTTTTGTTGTTATCTTATGTGTTGTGTTTGTATTGTATCTTGTCCTGCCATATTGACTTGACCAGCATAATTGCTTCTCTTCCATTTTCGCTAATTTCTGAATTTTGTTTCTAATATTTAACTCCATAACTTTAAAAAAAATTAATAAAAAGTAATTCATTTTGTTTTTATTTTGAAGACAAATAAAGTTGCAAAATAAGACATTTTGAAATCTTTACTATCTAGTTTGTGTAATATTTTCATTTCAAAGAATGGGTAACAAAAGGTGGAAAGGCAAACAACTGGTATTTATATTCCCTTGGGTTCTGGATGGAGCATATGACTTCAACAACACATCTCCATTCCACTCGGTTATCTTCACTTCTTCTTCTTCTTCTCCTACTTCATAAGATCACGACTTTGCATAGGCTTAAGTCTCCCCCGCCCCTTCCTTCCTAACACGATCTCCTCCATATTACCCTCAGATGAACGCCAAACTCTCTATTTCCTATTCGACCTCCACTCGGTAGCCTGTCATATGACTTCACTCAACAGTCCTCACAAGGTGTATCCGATTCATTTCCATTCCCCTCTGCATATTTATCGATCTGTAGCTTCTTGGTTGGCTGATTGACTAGTTTGTCAGCGTTCCTTGTAGATACTGCTGTCTGTCTGGCCATCTGATATTCATTCAGTAGAGAGTGAAGACAGCTGTCGAGAGAGGTCTTCAGTAGCCTGTTGTAATTACTTCTCGTGACATGTGGGCCAATAGTCTGAATCATGCAGAAACACTGACTGACTTGATATTCATGTTTGAAATGCGAATCAAGTTAGTTGTTCCTCATGAGAGTAGCAGATTCCCACACTGATTTCATCAGAGTATTGAAAATCTGTCTGACTTTGACATCGTCATCCGTAGGCTTGTGTGTATTTGAAACGATGCTTCGTAGCCAGGTAAGTTGGATAGGTGACTTTCTTCGAATTTCTTCCGTTGATAGTGATTGATGCCCGCTGTTGTTGTTGTTGTTATGGACTACGTTTCTTCATCACCCGTATCTTCTCTATGTTCACTTGAGGTTCTGTCTTCGCTGCCTGCCTCTTCGACGAACTTGTTTGTTTTTCGCCTGTAGATTCTCAAGTTTGTATATCAGCAGCCTCTTCATCGAGTTTGCTGTTAATCTTCATATTCTTCGGTATTTTTGTTGCTCACTGAGTTCGCCATTTGTTTTCTACCTTCCAGAATTTTTTGTTGATAATCTTTATGGGCTCTTCAGTCTTCAGCATGTAACGAAGTCACTTGTTTATGAAAGTCTGCAGGGGTCTGTTGAAAATACTTTTAGTGACACATCGAATCTCTGAACCATATAGAATCACTGATTCAACATTATTGTCGATAGTTTTCACACTGATTTCATATAATGAAGGTCTTTCTTGATTTGTATTGATTCTGCCTTTGTCAGCTTCATCTGTTCCCTCACCTAATGCTGACTTCCTCCAATTTTATTCTGTTGATAATGACTAATGCTTGTTCTTGTTCGTTGGGTGTCTTTATTATCACCTCTATCCTCTGCATGTTCACTTGAAGTCTTGTCTTCGCCTTCTGAGCCTCCTGCCAATTTGTTTTTTTTTTACCTAAACATCCTTGAGTTTTTGTGACACTAGACATAAATCATCGGTGAAGTCCTGATCTTATAAACTTTCCTCTAATTGGTACAATGTATTCCCGGCTTGTTGTTTCCCCGCTCGATCTGTTGCATGATCCAGTCCAACACAGTCTGGAAAATTAGTATATATTATTATTATTGTATCCTTTAATTCCTAGAGGAACATAGGGCTTCAGCCGTGCGTCTCCATTGCGTTCGGTTCTCTGCTAGAGTCTTCACCTGGCTCCAAGTCTGCCCACACGTTTTCATCTCCTCTTCACATGACCTCCTCCAAGTCACCCTTGCACTGACGACCAACTCGCCACTTCCCTTTCGGGTTCCACTCGAGCAATGGCTTGTCTAGTGATGTCACTTGATGGTTTCCTCAGAGTATGGCCAATCCATCTCCATTTCTTCCTGCCTATTTGTTTCACAATCGGTTCCTGGTTGGTTCGCTCATTGCCAGAGATCTCTGTTGCTGATCTTTTCTGGCTGGCCATCTGATCTTGAGTATTGAGCGAAGACAACTGTTAATGAAGGTCTGTAGTTTGTTTGAGATGCTGTTTATGACGCGCAGTGCAAGTCTCTGATCCGTACAGTGAGTAGCACTGACTTCACATTGGAGTTGAAAATCCGGATCTTATTTTTGATGCTGAGTGCTGTTGACCTCCACACAGACTTGAGAGTAGTGAAAGCTTGTCTTGCTTTTCCGATTCTTGCTTTGATATCCTCGTCAGTTCCGTCTGCCTGTAGTTGAAACGATGCTTCCCAGGTAGGTAAAAGAGGTTGTTTCTTTCAGGTTCCTCCCATTTATGCTGATCGTTGTCTGTTGTTGTTGTTCTTGTCCAGGAATCTTCATTACCTCTGTTTTCTCTATGTTCACCTGAAGTCCTATCTTTGATGCTTCTTCTGCCAACTTGTTGCTTTTCACTTGCATATCTTCCAGTTTGTGGGAAATCAGACATATATCATCGGCGAAGTCCAGATCCTCCAGTTTTTTTTGTGTGAGTTCATTTTATGCCTGTTTCCTCATTGCCCGCCGCTGTTTGTCGCATTATCCAGTCTACTGCAATCAGGAAAATCATTGGCGATAGTAGGCAGCCAACTTGTCTTACTCCTGTCCTCACTTCGAAGGATTCCGTAAGTTCCTGGTTGTGGATTACTTGGCATGCAGCATTGTCGTACAGCTGTTGGATGAGATGTATAATTGTCGGTGGCAACCCGTAGTAGCGAAGTAGTTTCCAAATCACCTCTCGATCGACGCTGTCAAAGACCTTTTCAAAGCCGATGAAGTTGAGATAGAGAGGTGACTGCCATTCCAGGCTTTGTTCAATGATGATCCGTAATGTGGTGATCTGATCAATGCATGACTTGTTTCTCCTGAATCCAGCTTGTTCCGGTCGAAGTTTTTCATCCAGGGCATGTTTGATTCTCTCCAGGATGATGCGGCTTAGTCTAATTTGTTTGTTAGTGATTACTAATCGATGCATACCAAATCAAGGGTTGAATGGTTATATGCTGACTGTCTTTGTCTTGTTTCCTTGATGATTCCTTGATCATATCATATCAAATTGTAACAGTTATCCAGTGCTTCATAGTCATAAACTGCGATGTTTTCATGTAGTAGTGATATAGTTGATCTTGACGGTTTTATGCCAGGTGAAATCTGTAGTGGCTGAGAAAATTTGTGAGATGTTTATTTTTATTCATTATATATACATGCGCCTATTTTTCACTTTAAATCCAGTAGCAAATTGGATTTAGGGGGCACTGAACACTCACTCTATGTTAACTTCGTTCAAAGTCTGAAGTGAGTCTCTGGATAGAAATAGAAGTAGGTTAGTGAGCCAAAAAAATAATACTTCATGTAATTTTGACTTAGATATTAACTCACAATATGGTAGAAAAAGTTCAAGCACTAGGTCTCTTATGGTTAAAGTCCTTTGTCTTTTCACGATCTTAAAATTATACTGTAACAACAGAAGACAAGGGCCAGGTAACAGATCGTTTATTAAGGAAAATCAACACATATTTATAGATTTTAATGTACATTATTGTAGATTATTGTTAGTAGAAAATACAGTCTTTTGATTGGTTATTTCTCACAGAAAGTTAACCTTGCATCTCTTTGTGGCTGTGTCAGATCATCCATATGCTAACTGTATCCGCCTACGCAAAGCCTTTGTTCTCATTTTCTCACCACCAATATTGGGGACATAAACATTGACGTCAATTACTGTCTACCAACTTTGGCTAGCAACCAGCTCTCACCACAATACCACTGTTTTTCATAACAGGGTAATCTCATTCTATCAGGGACACACTTTTATGCAGTGTTATTTATTTTCCGATAACATCTCTAGCAGGATTTCATATCTCATGATCATATCATGGCACTCACATAACTGTGAAACTTAGTTTACACAGTTCCATTATTTCACATCGTTTGATTTTGTTGGTAATATTATTTTCCATATTTCCAGTGTTGGCGTTGTATCATTTCTACTGCAGCTGTTCTGTGTAGATTTAGTAACCAAGCCCTCCTTCAACTTAGTTATATTACCTTTCAAGACTGTAGGTCTGTCCTACACTATTGTTGGTAACTCCATTTTGTAGAGCTAGGTAATATCGTTTGTCACCAACTGGCCGTAAAGTGAGAACGTTTTTGATGCTGACTCTTACTGTCACAGATTTAAATCTCAGAGGGAGCATAACTCTGCCAAATATTGAGTGAAATAATCGAGAAAAATTTCAAAAATCACAAAGAACGTCTAATATCATCAGAAGCACGTCATATCAAATGGAACCTGATTTGTCTGAATGGTGGAATGATAGACTAAAATAGAATTTTTGACCTGGTTTCATCAACCCACCCCTGTTCCCCCATGAAATCACAAAATCAACACGAATGTGGTGATCAATTTCATTATGTAAAAACATACTGCTTTTATAATTCTATACGTTTGTCAAATCCAACAGTCTACACAGGGTTTTTGTTATCTTTACCGATCGGACAACTTGACGACGTAAAAATTACTCCATAGTGATGAAGGGTGATTAAAGTTATTATATATAAGCTGAGTGGATTTTGTAAATTCTAATTTAATATTACTGCTTTGATAAAGCTATTAGCAGCAGCATTAAATAGCAAAACACCTGTAAAGGAACAATATCCTTTCATTTTTTTTATTCATTGGGAAATACAAAAAAGCTTTTATAATAATGAACATGTCTCCAAGTTTTCAGGTAAGCTGTTACACATGAAACTCTCGAAACACTTCTCATTTTTCGCTGTTGCATTTGCATAACCTGCTGAATCCTCTTATTCTTAATAAGAAAACGCTGTATCAGAAGACCCAAAATTATCATCTGCTAGTGACATATGAATGATTTCTACGTTCCGTGACCAAAATACTACTTATGTTCCGTGGAGTTGTTTAAGAATCCAAAGTATGTATAATATCGTATCCCTTCAACCAGGGCACATGTCCTACAAGCTTATGTAATTCCATTTATTATAAGTTGAATTCAGACATCTTCATTTCATGAAGTCATTGTTTCTTTGGT